GTTGACTTAAAAATCCAGTTTGTTTTCATATTGTTCTTTATCAATAGTTGACTTAAAAATCCAGTTTGTTTTCGTATTGTGATGTATTTTTGAAAAGTTGACTTCTAAAATACAGTTTGTTTTCAGTATGGTTCTTCTTTAAAAAATTGATTTGAATGTCCAGTTTGATTTGGTATTGTTCAGACCAGTGGGAAATGCTGAGAGTGATTTTGTAGAGCATTTTTTTTTCTGTGAATAGAAGGGGGATAGGTGGGGCATTTTTGTGTGGTAAGGCGTGAGGCTATGGTCATCAGGAAGGAAGATTGGTTTGTGCGATGGGACAAAGGATGTATGGTTGACTATCTGGCTATTTTATGGGGAAACACAGAAGGGAACAGAGAAGAAAGAGTAAAAGAAAGATAATGAGATGGAGGAGTAGATGAAAGAGAAAAAGAAGGAGGAAATGACGAAAGAGAAAAAGAAAGAGGAGAAGAAAGAGAATACACAAGAGAAAGAGAAAAAGAAAGAGAGAACAAAAGAGTAGTAGAAAAAGAAAAAGGAGAAAATCAAGAAAGAGAGAAAGAGGAGAAGAAGAAGTTGAAAAAGGAGGAAAAGAAAAAGAAAGAGAATATGAAGAAGGAGGAGGAGAAGAAGATGAAGAAAACAGAAAGTAAAATTAAATAAATAAATATTTGTTTTTTCCCTCCCAGAGCAAGATCAGCAAGAGGGCGTGGGTTCTCCACGAGTGTCTGGAGAGAGTTCCGGAGAACATTGACGCCATGAAGGAGTTGATGGAGTACGGCTTGCGAGGGACGGACCTGCCTGCGCTCATCGCCGTGGGAAACGGAGAAGACGGAGGGAGGTCGGTGACATTAACACTTTACCGTCACGTCTCTCCGATCATACCCTTCAGTTTCCTTGGATTTTCCCCCTAATGCCTTTGCCTTTGATGGCAAGAGTTTTTACTATATCAGCCTTGTGATGGCAAAGTGTTAAATAACAAATTGTTAACTCTTTACCT